CCTTCATCCACTTTTCGGTTGTCTGTCCCCCAGGGAGGAGGTCACACACAGTTCCATGTAATCGGTTCCCTCTTTCCTAAAAAATTGTGTTCTATTAACATTTTATTGCCAAAATTAGACAGCAGACCAGATCTGACCTACTAGTGTAATTTGCCAAATCTTGATCTAAAACTGATAACAAAAAAGTTTCACCTATGTCTTGTAACATTCTTGCAGTATCATAGAGTTATAATTTAGGAAAGGGACGGGCAGGATAGAGGACAAAAGGGGGCAAGTGAACATAGGTCCACTATTTCATTTTTAACAGATTTATTGATGTAATTTTATAACACAATATAATAGTTTAGTCATATTAAAGAGTTGTGAAAAAATTACTCCTATCAATTTTAGAACATGCTTGTATTCATTATTATTAGCTCCCCATTTCCCTCCATCTCCCCTGCCACACCCCTAAGAAATTATTTTTCCAGATACTATCTATAGATTTTTTGATGTTTGTTTTCATATGTGGAAAAACACCAAGCAAAAAAACCCCAAATAATACGTAACCTAAAACCCAATAACAAAATAAAACAGGTCTCAATTGAAAAGAGAGAAGAAAATATTAAAAATTATAACAGATTTAGAATGAGTTAAAAGGGAGAACAAATGACAAAGTGTTAAAAAAATTTTTTCTTCCAAATCATTTTATTTGGGGGCTCATACAACTCTTTATCACAATCCATACATCCATCCATTGTGTCAAGCACATTTGTACATTTGTTGCCATCATCCTTCTCAAAACGTTTTCTTTCTACTTGAGCCCTTGATATCAGCTCCTCATTCACCGCCCCCCTCATAAACCCTCGATGATTTATAAGTTATTATTTTGTCATCTTTTTTTCTTAAATCATTTTATTAGGGGCACATACAACTCTTACACAATCCACACATACATCAATTGTGTAAAGCACATTTGTACATTCATTGCCCTCATCATTCTCAAAATATTTGCTCTCCACTTAAGCCCCTGGCATCAGCTCATTTTTTCCCCTTCCCTCATGAACCCTTGATGATTTATAAATTATTGTTTTGTCATATCTTACACTGATAGCAAGGCTACTCACATATCTGATCATTGGTCAGCGGGCACTCACTGGGGGATCCACGTGGGGACCGTACACATGAATTTTGGGCTTCCACTGTCATTTCTAGCTTTCTGCAAACTGGGTGCTCAGAATTTAAACTTCAATATGATTCCCTCCTCTACTAGTCTTAGATTTTATTATTGAGATCTACGATTTCTGGATTAATCTTCAATTCTAGTGTTCAAAAAATCTGAAATTTATTTAATAACAAAACTTAACTGACATTAAGCTTATTACAGTGTTTTATTTATCCCACTTAGTATGAATATTCGTTCATCTTGATGCAGAGATACTAATATATTTATTTACAGAGAGTTGCTCCTAATGCGTGTATTTCTCTTTGTCTCATACACAGGGTTATTTTTAATGTCTGAAATATTCTGAAATCTGTAGTTAATTTGTTCTGTGGCTTTCAGAGAAAGAACCTCTTTTGTATACCAAGGAGATGTAGATCTATATCACTCACTGGTCAGCAAACTGGCTTGTGGGCCAAATGTAGCCCAAATTTGATTTTGTAAATAAAATTTTATTTGTAACACAGTCATGCCTACATATTTATGTATTGTCTATGACTCCTTTCACACTACAACAATAAAAGTGATGCTTTTGACAGTCTTGTGTGTCTGCAAGGTATTAAAATAGTTGATACATGGTCCTTTATTTTAAAAAATTGCCTTACTCTCTTCTAGAATCAAGTTAGACTAGTGTGAGCTAGCTACCTTTATTTGTTGTGTCGTAGTGGAGGATTACTATTTGAAAATTCCTATCGCTTTGACAAAAACCACTGGCAATATCAATTCCCACAGGATATGCCTGCCTCAGATTTTGCCAATTAGTAACTTGTTTTGTGTGTTTTCTCATAATTTTCTTTTTTCAAACTCTTTGGGGATATAAAAGTAGATGAAAAACCTGTAATTAAGCTGATCTAATATGTGAGGAAGATTTCACAGTAGGCAGCTGTCTGAATGGGAACAAAAAGGGAGGCCAGGGAACCTATGGGAGCTTTTGTTGAGATGTCCAAAAATATTAAAATTTTTTTTATTTTCCCAATTTTAGATTCTGAAGCGTGTTCCCAATAGTGTGCTCTGGCTGTTGCGTTTCCCAGCAGTAGGAGAACCTAATATTCAACAGTATGCGCAGAACATGGGCCTTCCCCAGAACCGTATCATTTTCTCACCTGTTGCTCCTAAAGAGGAACATGTCAGGAGAGGCCAGCTGGCTGATGTCTGCCTGGACACTCCACTCTGTAATGGGCATACCACAGGGATGGATGTCCTCTGGGCAGGTACACCCATGGTGACAATGCCAGGTGAGTTGGTGATTAATCATTGGAGCCAACCTTGTTCTTTTTAAGATCGCACTTGTGGGAATTAATTTCAGGTGAAACCATGTATACTGAAGCAACATTTGGAGTAAGATAATAGCAAATAAGAGATTTGTTTAAGCTTTTGAACAATTAGTTCAGTTCTCCTTATCTACATTTCGTGATTACTCGATATAACTAAAATTATGTTACCTTCTCAGCTATGTAATTCTCGTGTTTCTTAATACAGGAGAGACTCTTGCTTCTCGAGTGGCTGCTTCCCAACTCACTTGCTTAGGTTGTCTGGAGCTCATTGCTAAAAACAGACAAGAATATGAAGATATTGCTGTGAAACTGGGAACTGATCTAGAATAGTAAGTAAGCTATTCTGGGAGCAAACTATATGACCAAGTGCAAGAAATATGGACAATTTAAAATATTGCTGTTATAAAATGAAGTCATAAGTACATGTAAAAATAAAACCATAAAGCAAGGATAACATAAAATAAGTGAATTCGTTGTGTAATGTTTAGATGGGTGAGAATAATTTTCCAAGGTCTTATCACTAGGCTTTACTATTTAAAGACTAAATGGCTGAATTAAGAAAAAACCCCCAAACCCAGAAAATTAAGGGCAATGAAGAGGAGATCTTCTGTGTCGTGTGTCCAAGTATTAACAACTTTACTAAATAAATATAAAAAGTACATAAATTTTAATTCCTTCATAGAGAATTAAATAAGGAACTGACAGGACAAGTCACTGAAATAAAAATACCAATGGTCAATACCAGTGGTCACCCTTTCTAGTAGAAATACAAATTAAAATAATATTGAGGTGTACCTGTTATTTGTGCAGAAAATAAAAATACTGAAAAATTTGTATCAGTGTTAAGGGTGCTAACACTCTTACGTTGGTGAATACAATGCAACCCTTCTCCCAAATTTGAAGTGTGTCTTTTGTTTTAAAGGAGCGCTGATGATGCTATCAGGTAAGCTTTGAACTTGTTAACTATAAGGTTGGCGGTTCAAACTTACCAGTCACTCATTGGGAGAAAGGCGGGACTTTTTGTTCCCATGAAGATTTACAACCTTGAAAACCCTATATAGGATGGTTATGAGTCGCAGTTGACTTTCTGGCAACTTTGTGGGGGGAAAAGTACCCCCCTCCCCCTTTTAGTGGGTGTGTAATCTTATAATGTCACCTTTTCATGAGAAAAAATGTAATTTAAATATCTGAAAATGGGAAAGGATGATGCTTTTGCCATGTAAGGAAGCACTAACTATATTTTAAATGAGGGGTTTCCTTTGGCTATTATTAAGCAATATTTTTGTGTTCTTTTAAGAAGTATATTATGGAAGTTAAAGGAGCACATTGTTTGAGCTAGACTACCTGAGTTCGAATCCAAGATCTGTCACTTATAAGCTGTGTGACTTTGGGCAAGTTGAGCTTTATATGCCTTGGTTTGTGCGTATGCAAAATGGAGATTACTGATCATACCTGCCTTGTAGAGATATTGTGAGGGTTGAAAGGTATTTTGTGTAAAGCACTTAGAATAATTCTTAGTGCATAGCAGGCATTCAATAAATGCTTATATTATTTATTTTCACACTTTATTGAAAATCATACATCTTAAGAAAAAAGAAGGAAACTCGATCAAGTTCTTAAAAAGTTTACAATTTTTGACATAAGAAAGTGCTTACACCACAATATTAAGTAGAAAAGAACTAAAATGTATAGTAAGGATATTTATAAAAATTAATCTTGTTATGTACAAATATGTCTGATACAATTGATGTACGTACGGATTGTAACAAGAGATGAGCCCCCAATAAAATGATCTTTAAAAAAATTTTTTAGGTTAATATTGAAACGCACTAAAATATTGGTAGGTTTATGAGTGAAAATGTGTGTCTTAATAAGCTGATATAGACCACGTTTTCTACAAGCCTTTATAAACTAATCAGTTAAAAAATTGCAGGGGGGAAGGGGAGAAAGGGAGAACCCATCACAAGGTTATATATGTTGCCCACCCCCCAGGGGGATGAATAACAGAAATGTGGGTGAAGGGAGACAATGGACAGTGGTAGGACATGAAATAACAGTATATATTTGATCAAGGATTCACGAGCGTGGGAGGGTCGGGGAGGGAGAGGAAAAAAGAGCTGATACCAAGGGCTCAAGTAGAAAGATAATGTTTCGGGATTATTGATGGCAACATATGTACAAGTGTGCTTATATAATTGAAAGATGGATTTGTCATAAGATTTGTAATAGCCCCCCCAATAAAATGATTAAAAATATTTTTTGAAGGAAAACTAACTGAAAGTTTGAATTAGTATATTTTTAGTAACCAGCTAGATAAAGCTGGAATAGATTTTTTCCCAGCAGTTTATTGGCACGTAGTTTACATATTATACAATTAAGTAGTTCAATTGTTCAATCATATCAAGGAGAACTGTACAATCACTACCAAATCAATTTTAGAGTATCCCCCATCACATGGTTGAATCACCTTTAAATAAAGCTGGAATAAATTATAGCTAAATACCTTTCAGATTAGAAAGAAAATACACGGGGGTTTCTAAAAGATTTGTGTGAAAATAGAATTGAAATAAAATAGGATTTTTCTACAAACTTCTTGAAGTCCCCTCACACAGTAAAAAGAAAAACTAATAATTTCATTATCCCAGATCATTGTAATTAATGATTTAGTGTATTTTAACATTTTTTTATAACCAGACTTTTTAGAACTTGGGTTCATACAATATTTTTCCCAACATTTTATTGTGAACAATTTCAACTTTATAATAAACACTTAGATTCTACCATTAATATTATTGTTCTTGCTTTATCAAATTTATCCATGTATTTTATCCACTATCAAGCCTTCTTATTTGACACGTTTAAAAGCAAATTGCAGACACTGGTTCTCTTCTGTTTAAATACTTATCCCAAACTTTCAAAACTCACCGCCATCAAGTTGATTTCGACTCATAACAACCCTATGGGACAGAGTGGGCCTCCCAATTAGGATTTCCAAGGCTGTAAATCTTTGTTTTACAGAAAGCTTCATCACCCGAGGAGGGTTCTAACCCTTGCAGTTAGCCGCCCAACATGGGCTATGGCACCAGGGTACCTGGTGAAATGCACAATTGTTTCTTGACCATTCAATCACTTTAAAAAAAAATCATTTTATTGGAGGCTCGTACACAATCCATACACCCATCCATTGTGTGAAGCACGTTTGTACATTTGTTGCCCATATCATTCTCAAAGCATTTGCTTTCTACTTGAGCCCTTGGTATCAGCTCCTCATTCTCCCCCCCCGCTCACATACCCTTGATAATTTATCAATTATTATTTTGTCATGTCTTACACTGTCTGACTTCACCCACGTTTCTGTGGTTTTCCCCCACATTCAATGAATTTTGACAGTATCTTTATAGTCAAAATCCCTATGAAGTTATAAAGCATTGCTATTACTCCAGAAATTTCAGACAACCACTTTTTTTTTTTAAAAAAGATCATTTTATTAGGGGCTCTTACAACAATCCATACATCAATTGTATCAAGCACATTTATACACAGGCTGTCATCATTATTCCCTAAACATTTACATTCTATTTGAGCCTTTGGTATCAGCTCCTCTTTTTACCCT